CATTGAGGAAAAAACAAACAATAGATAAACTCTATGACAACTATTTTATTTTAAAAAAGTAAAAAACTACATTTTCAACTACATAAAAAAACTATTCAATGAAAAAATGAACTTCTTGTCGGCCAGCGAAAATCTCTTGAAGATTCGGGAAAAAGTGGACTGCACCTAGAAAAATAATAAAAAAAGAAATTGATAGCAGAAGGGGGAGAGTGTATACACACACACACAAACACACACTTACCTATATGAAGCCGTTCGGGTAAACAGCCACCTGGAAAATGAACGCCTGGCCATTTTTGATGACTCTTAGTGTCGCTGGCATCCCAGTCAGAAGAGCCCAAATAGGAGGAGCAAAAATTGAAAATTTCAGAAAATTTGAAAATTCACAAAATTCACAAATTTAAAAATTCACAATTTCACGAATTCAAAAAATTAATCATTCTAACAAAAATTCGAAAGATTCACAAATTTAAAAATTCAAAAATTCCTCCATTCTAAGTTCCGGAAATTTCAGACTTTTGAACATCAATAATTTTTAGAACAATCCACTTTTTTTAACACTCCCGGGCACTCAAACACTAAACACATTAGAAAACACTCAAAAAATGGAAACTGACAATATACTTACTCTTTGTTTTTGCCAAACAATCCAGTTAAAAAATGCACTGCACTCTGCGGAAGTACTTGTCACACTAACCATTGAGACGTGCAAAACAAATATGGCGATTGCATTTGTTCTTTTATTTTAATTCATTTCTAATGAATATGACGTTTTGAAAATACTTCAGCGGAAGCGTTATCGCATCATCCGCTGGAGTAAACACCACGAGTGCGAGCCAGGGTGTCGAATTACACCTTCCAACACATCTCCGAGACAACAATCGAAAGTGCGCGGCATATTTCTTCTTGAAGAAATGATTCAGGAGTGAGAATCCCTGAAGGCATTTCCACAATGAAATTCTTCCTGAATTATTTTCATAATTCTGGAAGTCAAGAAGTGAAAAAAGTTTANTTATCGCATCATCCGCTGGAGTAAACACCACGAGTGCGAGCCAGGGTGTCGAATTACACCTTCCAACACATCTCCGAGACAACAATCGAAAGTGCGCGGCATATTTCTTCTTGAAGAAATGATTCAGGAGTGAGAATCCCTGAAGGCATTTCCACAATGAAATTCTTCCTGAATTATTTTCATAATTCTGGAAGTCAAGAAGTGAAAAAAGTTTAATTTTTTAATTTTATAAAAGAGATGAAAAAAGCATCCCCATGCATAAATCTCAAAAATTCTGAAATTTGAGAAATAAAACTGCAAAAATTCAAGATAATTTCTCCCTTTAGATGGAGAAGTTGAGAGAAATTAAAAAAGTGTAGATCACCCCCCTACGCATCATGAGGAAAAAACACCAAATCGTGTTTAAATCAATTATAATGATAAGAAAAAAACTCATGCATTGCCGCTGCCGTGACAACGCATGACTTTCCTTCTCCCACTCTGATTGCCTGGCCGGCACTCGGCAAGAACATCCCCCCCCCCTGCCCGCCCCACGCCGCTGCCCCGCAAGCCCCTCGCCAACATTTGATTTCAATGGGGCCTAAGCATACTACTCTCCATCGAACAGCATTGGTTTCATTCCATAATATTAATTAGGAGAAAAGAGACGATTTTTTAATTAGCGGGCGAATTAATGGGGAAGCACTCTGCGCCGAGAAACCATTGAGTTTTTCATAGCGCCGCGACTTTCGTCGCAGTTTTTATTTTTTTATTACAGAGATTAAGGAATGAAACGGGGGTTGAAGGATGGGGAATTTAATTCTCCATCG